GGGTATGTTGTGTTTCCGGAAAATAGCACCTAGTGGCAGCAGGTATAAAGAAAATAGAAGGGGACCGAGGATGGACCCCTGCGGTACCCCTCATTTAATCACTGCCAATGCTGAACTAAAATCTTTGATGGAGACACAAAAGGATCTGTCAGTGAGGTAGGATCTAAACCATTTGAGGGCTGACCCTGTGATGCCCACTCACTGCTCTAACCTTGCAATGAGGATCTCATGGTCGATGGTGTCAAAAACAGATGTGAGGTCCAGTAAGACAAGGAGCACAGAATCACCAGCGTCTGTGGCTAGGAAGATGTTAGTAAAAACCTTCAGTAGAGCAGTTTCAGTGCTGTCGAGAGGTTTAAAGCCATATTGAAATAGATCCAAGATGGCGTGATCTTCTAGGAAACATTTTAACTGGGACTCAACTATTTTTTCCAGTAGTTTAGCGACAAATTGGAGTCTGGAGACAGGCAGGAAGTTGGACACGATTGAGGGGTCAAGGTTAGGCTTTTTCAGCAGAGGTTGAACAGCAGCATGCTTAAAGGTTTTAGGCACCACCCCTGAGGATGTTGCTATTCACAATAGTGAGAATAGAAGGACCCAGAGTAGGAAAAGCCTCCTTTAATAGTCGAGGGGGGACCACATCAAATGGGGAACCGTGACCTGCTCTAGAGAAAACAGAGAGAAAGACTCGGAAAGTCGACGACTCCTGACCAGTCCCTACCTAGAAATCCAATATGGCTGCCTCACACATGAAAAGTTGTGACAACTGCAGTATCCATCCATCCATCCATCCATCCATCCATCCATCCATCCATCCATCCATCCATCCATCCATCCATCCATCCATCCATCCATCCATCCATACAGCCATCCATCCATCCATACAGCCATCCATCCATCCATCCAACCATCATCTTTACGCTTTTTTCCTTTTCAGGTTGTGGGGATCACTGCTGGTGCTCAAGTCCAGCTATCACTGTGTGCGAGGTAAGGGGCATCCTGGACAGATCTCCAGTCCATCACAGGGACACATAGAGAC